CTATATAGTCGGTTATTAATTGTTTTTGTATGGAACAAATATTTTTCATAGTTTTAATAATTTGCATATGTACATACATATGTACATATGTTTGTATGTAATGGCGTGAAAAAGTTAGATTAAAATTTAAAAAAATTAATATTTAACCTGTAGTATGTATGTAAATGTGTTTGTATATGCATACATAAAAATTTATAGTACACAACAAAAATTGCATGAGCGGCATAGTTGAAAAGACTTTTTTTTATATTATTGAGGTGAAAATAAAAAAATAAAGCCAAATTTTACAAAGATAAAAATCGTCAAAACAAATACGGGCAAAGTTGTGCTGTTTGCTATCTACATACATGCATACAAATGTATATATAAGCAACACTTGTGCCATTTTGGCATAACGATCCCACTTTCGCATACATACATACATACATACATATATTTAGAAAAATTTGAAAAATATATATATATATATATGAAAAGGCAAATTTTACAAGTACTAGGCAAGCCTCAAGCTAACAACACCAATTGTTTATTACAAACACTCCTACATTTAATTTATATTTTATGTATTGTAAAAATACCACAGGTGTCTTCTTTTTTTTACTTTGTATGTATGTTATGCATATGAGCATGAATTGATTTGCCTAATTTTCAAAAAGTTTCACATTCTGCATTCAAAAAGTCTTACAAATTGCTTCAGTTCACAAAAAAAAAAACACAACTTGCACAGACGCAAATATATACTAAGTACACACATACATACATATATACATATATGTACTAATGTATGTATGTATGTTTGTATAATAAACGTGCAAATTTTCTTGCATTTTTTAAATAAATTTCGGCTATCAAATGTTCTCATAAATACGAATATACATATTTAGTATGCATAATAAGCCACGAAATTTCTCACCCGAAAATTGAAAATATTTTTCAACATCTGTGCAACTTTTGGACATCTGATTAAGTTTGCGTTATTTTATTGGGCTCGCAACATTTAATGGGCACTTCAAAAGCATTTGGTGACACAAAAATTCACGCTATTTCGATTGCAATTGAAAAAAAAAAAAACTAAAAATGCAATCAACGAAAAAAATTACAAAATTATGTGCATTTACTATGCTCAATGGCACACATTGTAAAGTAAATGAAACTAATTGCACATAAAAATAAGTACGAGTATGTACAACATTTTTTTTCCACATTCGTATGCTCAGCATTAATTAGTTGAGCCAGCGCGTCCTCGAATGCTTGCGATCAATCAGAAATCACACATAATTTTGAAATCAACACATGGTTAAAATACGAAACACCTGTTTGTGGCGTTGAAAAATGTTTGACATGACAAGATTTTATATTCGCATTTGTGCTGTGGCTAAAAGTCAAGGAATAAACATAGTATACATACAAAAAAAAATTAAAAAAAATTATATAAAATTTAGGAAAAAAACACAGCGGAAAAGGCAGAAAACTTGCTAGGGTTTTAAGTAGTCAGCACAAAATTTCGCTTAAGTTAAGCCAATTTGCACAAAGAAAATGCGCACCGACTGAATATAATCGCACGAGATTTGTACACAACAACAAAAATGAGCAACAAAATAGTCAAGCATTTAGCGAAGAAGGCAAGTGTGCGGGCATAACGCACAAACAAACTGACTTACGAGCGCTATTTTGTATAAATAGTAAAAGTAGTAAAAGTTTCTTAAATAAATAAATAAGTAAATATGTTCAATATGTTTGTATGTTTATGGCGTTGCCTCCTGCTAAATAGTAGAAGAAAAAGTTTTTATAATAAAAAAAAAACAGTGTAAATTTAAATAGCAAGTAATGAAAAGCAGCAAATTGTGCGCGCACCATGCGCCAAACTAAAAATAAAATTTAAATTTCAACGATTTTTTCACTTTCTGCGCATATATGTATATATCTATATATATTTGAGGGTTGCCAGATTGCGCGCAATTATTTGCTATAATTTATTGACCATGCTAGCTTTGCAATTTGTATTTTAGCAAAAATGGTTTTTGAATCGCCTCTTTGACATTTAGCAACAACATTGTCACATATGCAGCTGCAGATGCTGCTGCTCCCCCGCACACATTGTTTATTACCAATATCACAATGCCCCCCCTCACCCCCCAAGCTGCAAATTGACAACAACGCGCAAATGCGATTGCCTCTGGCTCTTTTGGCGCTCTATGGCGCGCGCGATCAGCTACTAGTAACAGAGCAATAATGTTGCCATTGTCTATGCGACAGCCGTGTCCGTCGTCTTTCCTGCTATTTTCGTAGAGCTTATATTTACATATGTACCTATGTATGTATATACATTTGTGCAGTAGTGTATCTCGCTGTCAGCAGCATTGTTTTTTTTTTGTGTGGGTTTCGGTGGACCACATTTGAATTTGCGAATTGCGCGCTGCTCACGCCCGTGGCTCTTTTGATCCACATGCACACGTACACACACACACACACACACACAAGTAAACATGTGCAGCCACATTCAATTATACGCCGCCATAGTGTTGGTGTATTTGAAATTCTTCAATTTGAAAATTTCCACTTTGCAAATAGTGAGAAGAAAATTTAGAATTTAGTTGAATACGAGTATCGAGCCCCTGAAGTGTCTGCCCGGTTGGCTGATTTGTGTGTGTCCGTCCGGTGCGCGAACTTAGATATTGAGAGTAAAAAAAAAAAAAATCCGGTCCACAGTAATAGATATATGTACATATCTAGTAGTGAAGAAAAATAACGATAACGCGCCGACCAACAATAACAACGACAAACAAGCGAATAGCGAACTTCAGCGGGTTGAAAATTTAATCAAGGAGATTAAGGGAATTATTGTACATAAAAGCGCAGGAAGTAGACGGCATCTAAGCAACAAAAGAAGAAAAACAAGAGCATCAAAAGATTATCCATAATCACTCTAAAATATATTATAACGAAATAAAACCTATAAAAAAAAAACGAATAACGAAAAAAAGAAAATAAAATTATTTAAAAAGGCAGTATACTTTCTTTTTCTTCAAGATATTAAGCCACGAATTTGTAACGAACACTAGCAAAACTCCATTTTCAAAACCCGGTTATATAATTGCAAAGCACAAATATACACCGTAAAAAAAAACTTGTAGTTTTCTTAGCACATCAGGCGTAGTTAGTGAGCTTAACATTCATTACGGCGCTACGATCAAATACGCAACGAAATTCATAAAAATCCTCAACGAAATTAATTCTACAGACAAACCAGTTGCCATAAATAGGATTAAACATTTTTGTGCCGCCAGCTGCTGTAAACTTGCTAATACGAGTATTATGGCTGAGCGTTGCTAAACGATTTTACAACGAAAAAAATATATATATTTAAAAAATAAAGCAAAGAACTACTTTTGAAAGTTTTATACTTGTTGTTGTTGTTAAACGACTATGTTTCCGCCGATGATTTCGTCAAACGCAATACTTCAATGTGAGACTGCTGAAAAGTTGGAAATCAAGGAGGCTACCACAGCAACAACAACGTCGCATTATTATAACGACGGCTTTCGACGACAACGACGACTACGAATCAACGAGCAGAGTGGGCTCAAGAAACGTATTTTTAATCAAATTAAACCTCCAGAGCTACGCATGGTGGGTTGACCAAGAAGAAGTTAAAAACAAAATCGAATTATAAATATTAAAAACCAAAGCCACGACAGCTTAAGAACAACAAAAAATCAACGAACAACATCAAACGCATACAACAACGAAACAAACGAAAAAGAACGAACAACAACTGTACAAAAATACGAATAACGAACAACCAAAAATTAAGGAGGAAAAGGAAAGTAACAGACAGCGAATACGAATACGAATGAAAGTTGCGATTCAAAAGCAACGGTTAACTGCGCTAGTAAACGGAAGTGTATGAGAACTTTAAAAAAGAGAGAGAGAGGGAGAGAAAGAAATATAAATAAAAAAAATAAAAATATATATGAGAACATTTTTGAGGTGCGTTTTTTGGAAACGTAAAGTGCCGAAAAGTACTGTTATGCAAATCGGCCATAAATTGCAAGTGAACAATAAAGAAGTGTGAATAAATACTTGGATATATAAACATATTTATAAGCTGTTAAAATATAGTTTAGTGATTCTTTGAAGTAGTTTTTACATACATATACGAATTTATCTGTTTTTTGTTGTTTTGTTGAAAGAGATACTCAAATAGCATTGTTGAAATATTTATATGCACAATATTTATAAACGAATTTTCGAAACGCATGTTAACTTAAATTAATAAATAAAGTGTTTTTAAACAGCATAAAAAAAACCTTAACGAACTGCGAAATAATTAAAATTAAAGTAAAAAAATGATAAAATACTCAGTGTACGTACAAAAACTTAATAAGTAAAAATTATTACTACAATTTAAAAGCTAAGTGTGTTTTGTAAAAAAAAAAAACTAATTTAAATTAACTACACAACAGAAAGTTTGTGACAATTTTGAAAACTGTGAAAAACAGCGTGCAAATTTAAACCTTTAGTGTTTTTTCTTTCTGCATATTTTTTGCCAGAAGTGTAACAAAGACTTAAAGCTAGTCATTAGAAGCTATTATCTACTATTTACATATGTTTATACTACATACATATATATATATATATATATATATACAAAGTAAACTGTACGAATTAAGACATTTTACAATTATAAATATATAGAAAAACAGTTACTATTCATTATATTTAAGTGAGTTGAAGACCTGTTAAGTGCACTACTTATCGATTATCTACGCACATAACTAACAAATCCGCCCACAAACTAGCTGAGGTAAACCAAGTCCGGAGCATTGTAACAAAAGAGTTTAGCAGCTTAAAAAACTTTAAATACAAACTTAGCTAATAAATAAATAAACTAATTCGCGCTGTGTATTTGCAACAAAAAATAAATAACAACAAGATATAAGAATAATTTTAAAGGTTTTTTTTTTTTTAAATACTCAATACTTTTCCTCCTGCAAAACGGCGCAAGTTAAAAGCAAAAAAAAAATATTTATGAGAAAGTATAAATATCAACCGTACCCGGCGTACCAGCACACCACCAACGCACAACAGCAAAAACCACAGCAACAACAACAGCAATTAGAAAAACAAGAACTTAGCCACTCAACGCATCCATTACATCAGCCGTCGCCGCGCCCGTACACTTCCCGCTTCGAGCAACAGCAAGCACGCCAACGACATCAAAACCAACAACAACAACAACAACCACAGTTACTGCAGCAACAGCAAGAAATAATTTTACCGCCTCCACCACAACAGCTGCCAACGCCAGAAATGTCGCCACAACAGCAACTACCCACGCACGCTGGCTACCAGCAACCAACACAACAACCACAACAACAAGAAACACAGCAACCAATGCAGCGTCAACAGCAGATTCAGCTGTTGCAGCAGCAACAACAAGCCACCACAGCGGCACTGCAGCAACAGAAACAACTGCAATTACAGCAGCAGCAGCAGCAGCAGCAACAACAACAACAACAATTGGCTAACGCCACATTTGCAGCCAATTTTAGTGCATTGCAGCAACAACAACAACAACAACAGCAACAGCATAATACAGCTGGCCCTGCAGTGAATACTGCCTGCAATGGCAATTTCTTTGCGACGACGTCATCAGCACAGCAATACACGCACGCAAGCGAATATACGGCTTATAATCAAAATAATATTAGCAGCAGCAGCAGCAGCAGTGGCATGAATGGCAATAATAATAATGCGTTAAATGCAACAAATAGCAATAATCGACTGCACCAGCACCAAATGCAGCAACAACAGCAAGCATTTTTGCCATTTGCCGCAAATAATCCAAATCCAAATAATCGACATAGTCAATTCGAACGAAATCAGCAACAACTGAGTCAGCAGGAATACATGCAACTTTTGCAACAACAACAGCAACAATTTCATTTGCAACAACAGCAACCACAACAGCGTCAATATATCGGCAATAATAGTAATAATAATAATAATAATAATAATAATAATAATACTAATCACAGCAATGCGCTTAGTAATCAGCAGCAATTGCATTTGCAACAGCTACAGCGCGCATTGTTAGAAAGGCAACAGCAAAAATTGCAGCAACAATCACATGAAATACCAATAAGAACAGTGGTTGGCGGCAGCAGCAACTCCCTGCCGCCGCACCTATCACCGGCGCTCAACAATGGCGGCGAATATAGCAGCAGCGACGGTGGCGGCAGTGGCAGCGCCGTTGGTGATGGCCTTGTCAGCACAGTTGACACAGTGGCTACTAGCGATTGTCGATTCTCGATGGATGCTTGCGAAATAGCAAATTTTCTGGCTAATGAGCTTTTTATGCAGCAGGTAGATAGATATTTATGTAGATACATACATATGTATGTACATAGCTATAGCTATATAGGCAAGCAGGCAGGCGTGCAATGTACATACATATATCTATATATACATATATACGTACCCTGTCGGAAAATTAACTACTTTAGAAGCATTTTAATAAGCGTTTTGTATTAACTACAAGCGATTGAAATTTTTTTCAAGCAATTTACTTTATTAACATGGCGATGTCGTAGTTGTCCGACTCTGCATGATGATTCCAGCTACTCTCAAGTAATTGTGAACTAACTAGGTATCAAGATTTTTATTTTTAAATCATTGCAAAATCGTTATTTTCTATACTCATTTTTCCGCTGGAGAATAATCGTTATTTTGGATTTTAATGTTGTTTCGATCATTTTTAACCGTTATGATGGAGACGGCGTTTTTATGACACATTTAAATCGTATGCGATTAAAAAATCAAATCAGAAAGTAACGGTTATAATGTGATCGAACAAATTTAAAACAAAAAAAAAACAACAACAAAAAACGATCGACAAAATTATCGAAAAAGTAAAAATTTAAAATAACGATTAATTTCAAGCCGCTGGTTCACCTCCCAGTAATGGCGTTTAAAGTAGTCTGATGGCATGTGGTGATCTCCGAAATAGCTAGCAGCGATAACTTCTGCCAAAAATGATAATTATTGTTGTTTTCCACAAACAAACAAAATTTTTGAGGCTGTCTGCTTAATTCCGAGAGGGCACATACATACTCGTATCATCATTAAAGAAAATGGCGCGTTACCCAAAACCTATACTTTTACCTACATACATACATATATGTATTGTATAAATTTATATGTAATTAAGTATATCTGCAGGCATATGAGTTCTTATTTATGCACATAATTTTATATTTTCTAACAATGTTGCGGCGTCTACATATGCATGTGCGTAGTTGTATAATTTATTTAGATATAAATTGTTATTTTATTGCACCATTTATTCTATTTCTAAATCGTCCATGAACAGGTATTTTTCTAAAATTTTTAATTGTTATGTCTCTATGTAGGTATTTAGTACAAGTATATACATATGTAGATTTTTTGTTTTTATTTTTATTTCCACTCATAAAATACCCATGTGCTCTCTACTGCATTTCGGTCACTCGCTCACTGCTTGGCGTACGTTCAATTTGTCACATGCGGAATGCAATGCTGATGAATCCATTTCAGTATATACATATGTACATACATACAAACCTACACCTACTCGTGGACATTGCATGTATTTTATTTATTATATTCGTTCCGCTATGATCTCCTTTGTAAGGTTCAATCTATGTTTTATTTGTACATACATATAATATATGCATGGGCGTAGCCAGGTAGGGGCCGGGGGGTGCTCGAGCCTCCCCCCTAACTTTCAAATTTTCCTTATATATATATAAAATAGTATCCTGAAATGCCAGCTTAATAGGATCGAGCCCCCCCCCCCCCCCCCCCTAAATTTCATTCTGGCTACGCCGATGAATATATGGTCGTTAAACATTCGACTTCGCGCTTTTTGTAGAAAATTAATTAATGTTCATTATTTAGGTCAATGATGCTGATTATATTATGATTGTGCCATTTAAAGTCTATGGAATGTATCCTTTACTAATTGACAAATACAAAGAGCAGCAAAAATGTTTAATAACGAAGCTATAGACAATTTTCGAAATCTCTTTCTAAACTCACAACAATAGCTGATCCACAAGTGCTAAAAAAAACATGACGAAAATATAGATATGGTGCTGACACCCTTGGCGAATACACTGTGTAACTGAAATAAGTCCCGTACCATAAAGCCATAGAGGGTAACTAGGAGGCTAACTAGCTGGCAATGGAAGCAATAGTTAGCCAGCTTGAATCAGAATCCTTCGTTTCTACATTGAGAAAAGAGTAAGCTAAACACATATTTCGCTCAACACAAGATTTGGTCAATACAACCAAATCATTAAATATAACCAAATTATGTGTCGAGACAAATATGTTTGGCTTACGCATTTCTCAGTGTATTTAATTTACTTAACTAAACTGTTTTCTCGGTGTATGGAAACACTTACTATCAGAGAAGCGTCTGCTTAGAATATCCTTCGGCAAAACTCACGCCGGCTACTGCAGACTAAACAACTTATAGGAAATTACAACTGCAAGAGATATATGTAGAAAGCTAATCACTCTCCCAAAGGCAAGTTTAAATGATGCCACCGGCTTAAAATCTCTTTATCTATGCAGTGCCATGCTACGAGATATCTTCAAAGATCGAGCTTGGCATCAGGCGCACTAACAACGCCTCATTTTGATAACAAAATTATCGTCTAACTTGCCACTTCGGTTAGACATCAGTGATTCAGAAGTAAAGACAGAGACAACCCCCACTCGCAACTGCCGAACAAATTTTTAGTGGAATGCCATGTTGTCGAGCAATTTTTGTACCCAATTTGATATGAAAAATTTAACTAAAACGTAGTTGAGTGGGAATAGCAATTCAAATTAAGTAAATAAAAGTTGTATATGGATTCACTAAATTTTGTTCATCACAGTACATACATATACGTATGTACATATATGTATACTTACACACATGCACGTCAATTAGTAAAACGTTTGCGCATTGTACTTAATTAACTTTAATTAAATTTAAATTTGCGAACATAGCGAAAAGCATGAAAGGAATAAACAATAGCCAGATGAACGCTCAGCGATGCGATCAGCCCTCCTCAACCAATCGCTGCCAAGATCTTTTAAGCGAATAGGCGGCACAAATTTTGCGAGTTCATCTTTAAAAATAACAACCCGCGGCGAATGTAAAAATCAAAAAGATAAAGATTAATAAAAACAATGCCAGACCAAGTGAATTGACAGAATTATAAGTTGAAAAGAGTCTGCGAAAAATGTGGAGAATAAAAGATTAATGTAGAGAAATATAAATTAAACACAAGAGAAAATTGGTGCGAATTCTGGGAATATGAAAAATAAATAAATAGACACAATAAAAAAAAAAACAAAAATAAAGAGTTCGATGCGGTAAATGCTAGAGAGTGGGGAAAGCAGGTGCCGGAAGAAGCGATCAAGCTAGTGACAGGGCGAAAAACAAGCATACCTAAATGTAGATTAGGGTGAATCACTCGCCATACAAAAAAATCCGGTACTGTGTTGCGATCGGAGTTATAACACTCTATTCTAACTATTCTAAGATTTTCGCCAAAATATTTTTTAATTAAATACCGAAATAAATATAAGATTCAAACTCTCAATAATTTGATACAATTTTTAAACATATCCGTGCAGACCTGTTTTTTGGAAAAAAATATTTTTAAACACGTATTTTGTTTATGAAAAATTCCATTTTTAGATATGTATATTTTAAAATTTTTTTTCCGGAAATCTTAGAATACATTAAATTTTACAATTCCGTTGAAAAACGCGCATTTTTCTTGGTGAGACACCCTAGTATACATACGTACATATGTACGTACATTTGAGTGAATATATGTATATGTATGTTGGCACGTATGTATGTACATAAATACAGGTGTTAAAAGATATTTTTCCAGTTGTAGTTGTTGTTGTTTCACATAAAACTATAGGAACTCATAAACAGCCAATATGTTAAATTGTATGCAACGGGTTTACAGTTCTCTGTGGGAGGCGAAATTGCCGATAATTCTATAAAAATATGTGCGTTTATAATTGTGTTTTTCCCGAAATATTCCAGAGATTTTAGCTTTCCTATAAAACTCTTAAGCCTTTTCATCAACGCTACAAGGAAACACTGTTGGGTAGTGCCTTGAAATATATATATTTTTTACAGTAAAAAACTTGTATAGGAGCTTTGTGCATAATCTTTAATTTAGTAATAAATTGTATCCATTATTTATGCAAATCACTAATAATTTTACTTTTCTCATTGCAGCTCGTTTCAATGGATGGCATACAGAGTGGTGTTCCCACGTTGACCACGTCCACGTTGACGCCCACCACCCTACGCAGCATCGAGGAGACATTCATACAGCTGACAACCGATCATTCGAACCCGCCCAGTCAGGCCGGTTTCATACCGCCGCCCGTCAGTTCAATACAGAATTCCACAAGTCCGGTATTCACCGGCGCCATGCAAAGCTACAACGATGTGGATACGGACGACTCACAGGCGTCCTGGACCAATTCACAGTTGAATGAGGAAAACTCAATGGCGACAACAGATACTTGTAAGCACATGAAAGCCCCTATAATCTTTACATACATTTCCCAACTAACTTGGATTTCTCTCTCTTATTTTCTGTAGCAAGCGCCGCCACTGACAGCACCTCATTTCCAAACGGCCTAAACGGTATTAGCAACGCTTCACTCGCTACCTCAAATACATCGTCCAAAAATGATTTCACTCTTTTGCACAACGCCATCGCAGCAGAAGCTGGCAAGCATGCCGGCAATCTGTTGCTGACAACTTCGCCCAACAGCAGCAACGTCCATACCTCAAATAGTGCCACAGTTACGCCTGCACCGACACGTCGCAATCAAGGCGGCCGTCGACCTGCCAAATCGACCAATATGTCACCCGAAGAGGAGGAGAAGCGCCGCATACGTCGCGAACGTAACAAATTAGCTGCGGCACGTTGTCGCAAACGTCGCGTCGACCAAACAAACGAATTGCAAACAGAAGTTGACCGTCTGGAGGGTATTCGCGAAACGCTGCAGAAGGAGGTCGAGAGCCTTAAAGTAACCAAGAACCGTTTGGCCTTCATTTTGGAAGCGCATCGACCGACGTGCCAGAAGATACGACAAGATCTATTGAGCGTACATACCTACGATGGCCTAATTGCGCCAGCGAATAGTAACAGCAACGACAGTAACAGCAATATCATTGGAGTTGATACGACGCTATCGTCTGTGGGACGCAGTGGTTCGCCCATCGATCTCAAGCCCATCATTTTAGACATTGTGCCGCACATCAAGCACGAACCTTTGGATAGTGCGCTCGACTCAAACTCGTCCCTGGATCATGACGGCCCACCATCGCCCAAGCGCATGCTACTCTCCGACAATAATCCGATGGTACAGCCACCTTTACCGAATGTAGCCACACTATCGGCTTCATTGGCTGCGGCCTCGGCATCCTTAAATACACCCATTGTGACGTCGGCACCAGTGAGTTTCGCCAGTTTCGTTGCAGGCAATAGTATGGCCAACAATAACAACAACATCATTGCGACCAGCATTGCTATAACAGGCACATTAGCTGCACCGAATAGACCACTATTGTGTAGCAGCAAGCAGCGTCCCAACTCGTTGCCCACAAACCTACGCAATCAGGCACAAAATCTCGCTTTAAATACAGAGCGTCCGCCAACGGACATCAATGGTGTCGCCATACAAACACCATCAACAGGCATGTTCAACTTCGACTCGCTAATGGATGGTGGCACCGGCCTGACACCCGTTTCGGGACCACTGGTGCCGACTTGCTCGTCGCAAAACAAACATCCATTGGAAATGCAGACACCTACAAGTGAGCCATCGAAATTGGTGAGCTTATAACAATAAGGAGCACAGAAAGGAAGGAAAATGGCCGTAGGCTGGCGTCGTCGGTGGCGGCTGAAGCGTTGTTGTGAAGGGCCGGGGCGTGGTAGAAGGGCAGGAGAAAGGGAAATGCGCCAGTCGAATAATGACATTTTTTCCAAGAGTATTGTGGTATTGTGTTAGTGAAGCTTACACGTTTATAAAGCGGAACAGCCAGCAGTCCAAGAACAAGAACACAAAGAAGTATGCTTTAAAATGTATTGAATGCGCGACGTACGATGCGTATACGCAACCTAAGACGCAATAAAAATGGGAAGCAGTTGCAAATATGTAATAAACGATATGTAGGCATATACAGACAGACGTACATACATATGTACATATGTATGTTTCAAAGCAGATTTCACGATGCGAATGTTTTAAAAGCGATTTTTTCTTAATTTAAAAAATCTAAAGTTTTTGTAAAACCCTTTGTGCGTAGACGAATAGTTATAAGAAGTTATAGGCAAGGCATTAAAACTGCTTGTATGTTAAATGTTAAGTTTTCTTTTATACTTTGTTCACAAAAAACGAAAATATTTTTATTAAAAAAAAAAACCATTTTTTAACTTAGTTAAAAAGAAGCGAACACAGTTTATGAAAATCTGGAGAAATGTGGAACAAAGAAGGAACGAGAGCGAAATCGGAGGAAGTGGCAAAACATTAGTCTATGCATCATTATGTATTGTATTATTACTTAAAACTTATTTTATAACTATTTTTTTTTATTTTAGATGGTTATTAAAAAAAAAAGCCAATTATTTCATAATTTTTGCTGTATAACTTTTAGAAATCTTAGCACTTGTTTTGGAGTATTTTCGGGCATTTTATCATTTCAGTTCATTTCTGCGCGCAATGGAAAATCATAAAATTTTGTATGGCAAAGCGTAGAATAATCTGCGCTTTTTTGTTCTTTGATTCCCGCTTAACAAATTTCAGCTGCACTCTTTGTTTTTGTTTGTTTGTTTTTTTTTCTATAAAGTTAAACTAAAGGAATTGTGTTTAACGACATTAAGAAGGCGTTGTGATATTTTTAATAAATAAAAAATAAAAGAAATAAAAACTTTATAAAAAGTATTTTAAAAAAATATTACGTATGTGTGTTAAATGCAATTTATAAAATTTATGCATTGATTTAGCTTAATCAAATTCACTCTAATATTAACCGAACTCTGTAAAGTAACAAAACAAATTGGCAGAAAGACCGTATGTGCACGCACAGACAAATTTAATTAAACAGAACAATTGGAAATGGCCTTTATAGCAACAAAGAATAAAATTTTTGTGAATTTTTGTATGTATATTCTATTGAAATATACGAGTACATGTATTTGCGTTTTGGCACCAGGAAGATTTAAGAAATTAGCAATTTGAGAGTATCTAAATATGCAAAATATGTATTGGCATGCATTGCTTTTGTTATAATTATCTTATTTTAAAATAACAAAAAAAAAAACAACTCAAAAGCAATCTTCATATTTTTTGTAACGGCATATAAAAGTCAAATATATATGTACGTATGTATATGGTATGAGAATGTAAAAATTAAAGAAACACAACACAAAACCTTAAAAAAGAAACAAAAAATAATATAGAATTTTCGCTCACCATGCCTTTACTTAGAGATGTAAAATTCCAGGAATCGCCTAAAATAAAACCTTAAAAAAAAGAAGAGTGAAATCAAAGTGAGAAATTATTCGTACATAGTATATTAATGAAACAAAAATTTAAATACATATTTACATATGTATACATATATGTATGTATGTATATGTACGCATGTGCGTATACAGTCTGCATGGCACGTACATATGTATGTATGTATTTATATGTTTTCCAATATATATATTATATAAATATGTATTTCGCGAGCTGAGCGCAAACTTTTGCAATAATTACACTTAAGACAAACACCAAATTAAAACAAAAAACTAAGAAAAAACTAAATAAATAAAATAAAAAACTGAAAACTAAAAAAGCATTGCGTTTTATTAAAAGAAAAAAGTAGCAACGATGTTTAGTAAGTAAAAAAAAATATATACATACATATATTATAACCAAACATTTTTTCGATGTGTTTGCTCGAGCTTCACGTCCAATTTGTGGCCTGCGTCTTTAGCTTGTCACACAAGTGTATGG